CCGATGTAAAGTCGTTGTTTTGCACGAAAACGAGAGTTTGATGGAAAATGTTTCAACGAACAGCGCCCCGTGGCAGTTTGCCGCTAGGGCAGCGCCCCCTGGTGGCGAAGATTTGAAAACTGAAGAAAAATGTGCAGGTCTAGACCGCCTTTGTCCCTTCAAGATCTCCCTGGTGACAATTCCACGTATGTATTTGTCGTACAAAATAAAAGCTGTAGAGAAGAGAGAGAGAGAAACACGATTTCTTGGCCATGATTGTTTTGCGTTTGATCGTTGTAAGTAAAATGACGTTAAAAAAATATTAAACGATCGAGCCGTGGGGGGGGATTTGAACCCGCGAGCTCGCGACTCGCAGCCCCGCGAACTCCCCACTCGACCACAGAGAAGTTGTTGACCTCGTGTCGCCATGGAGACTCGGGTGGTCGCCACGTGGCAAGAGACCCGGGGGCGAACCTGGGTCACTTGAGGTCAGCGGTACAACCGCGAGCCACGCTCCCCCCTCCCTCCCCTCTGATCCCTTGAAACACTCTCCAACAGAAACACTCTCCAACAGAAACACTCTCCCTCAGAAACACTCTCCCACAGAAACACTCTCCCACAGAAACACTCTCCCACAGAAACACTCTGCAACAGAAACACTCTCCCACAGAAACACTCTGCAACAGAAACACTCTCCCACAGAAACACTCTCCCACAGAAACACTCTCCCACAGAAACACCCTCCAACAGAAACACTCTGCAACATAAACACTCTCCCACAGAAACACTCTCCCACAGAAACACTCTCCCACAGAAACACTCTCCCACAGAAACACTCTCCAACAGAAACACTCTCCCACAGAAACACTCTCCCTTGAAACACTCTCCCTTGAAACACTCTCCCTTGAAACACTCTCCCACAGAAACACTCTCCCACAGAAACACAGGATCGACTTCAACGTCGCCTCCCACTGCAGTTACCTCAACCCCGTGGAGCCGAGCTCAAATCTTCAAAATCATTGCGACTTTACCATCAGTAATGCCCTTGGGAGTGAACAATAATAAAAGTCCATTGTGTATCTGCACGTGCACGTGTTTAGTCCGTGAGCCTCTTGGCTTTCCAGCCCCAAGATTCAGCATTATTTGTTTTAAGGGAATAAAAATTAACCCGTAAAAACAAAGTTTTTCACTATAAATCCTTTATATGCGTGGCGGCTAGAGTCCACTCGTCCTCTGGCTTGAGATGGCTGCCACCTATGGGTCAGATGATTGTCTGCCACCATTAAGCAATTGGTAATTAAATATTTTTTTTCCCTAAACAGTGTAAAATTTTTGAATTTTTTTCACGAAAATAAATTGTCACACACAACGAGTCTGTGTGGAAAATGTCAGCTCGATTGGATGACGGGAAGTGGGTTAAAAAACGACCGAAAGATTTGCACGGTCGTAAGCAAGCTAGCCAGCCAGCACGCAAGCACGCAAGCAAGCAAGTGAACTTAATATAAAGGATTTTAAAAAACAACTCCGGACTAGTTTCGCCATCATGCCGTCAATTACTCAAGAGAAGTGTTTCGCAAAGTGTTCACGTGTTGGATAACGATTGACTTGGAACATTGTTGCGACGACGACGATGATGATGATGAGAATGATGATGGTCTGATACGTGGCCCCATTGTCTTTGTCCTGTTCGCCTTTTGGCGTTCTCTGATCTAAGGGGCCGTCCATAAATGACGTCACGCGATTTTGGACAATTTTTGACCCCCCCCCCCCTCTTCGTCACACGACGTCACAAAAAGTCAGACCCCCCCCCTCAAATATGACGTCACAAAGCTCTGCCCCCCCCCCCCCCCAAAAAAAACACACATGCTTTAAATCGCTTTAAACTATTGTCATTGTAGCGCGTATTTAATGTGGCGCTGCACTCTGATGTTGTAAGAGAAAACACTTATTAAAAAGTATATTTAATTAAGTAGAACGTGTTGTCTATATTTATTTAAAGTTGCGGATTTTAATGTGACGTCACATTTCTCACCCCCCCCCCCAGGTGCGTGACGTCATTTATGGACGGCCCCTTACACTGGCAGTGAGACCAGGCCCTAAAGAAGGCTGCAGTCTCTCGTGTCGGCCAATCCGTTTCAAAGGCAACGCATCATACACGATGAGAGCATTACTCTTAGGTTTTTTCGGTAAAGCATGTAGGTAAAAAATAAAATAATAATCAATAAAAATAAATCAATTAAATCACGACGTTTCGGAGGCAACACAAGCTTCCTTCATCAGGTGTAAAAAATGGCACAGCAAAATAACTGTCACTACAGTTATTTTGCTGTGCCCTTTTTTGATTTAATTGATTTATTTTCATTTATTATTTTTTTACCTACGTGACTTTACCGAAAAAACCGAGAGTATGAATCCTTGCAGTCACGAAAGCTTCAAATCTAGAAATGATGAGAGCATGTTTAAATTTCGATTTAAAACTTTCGTGACTGCAGGGATTCATCTTCTTGGTTCTTTAGGTAAAGTCACGTAGAAGGGAAATAATAAAATAATAAAAATTAAACATAATAAAATAATTCTCACGACGTTTCGGCCACAACGCAAGCAGCCGTCCTCAGGTCTGAATGTCTTTCCGACAGACCTGTTCTTCACCTGAGGACGGCTGCTTGCGTTGTGGCCGAAACGTCGTGAGAATTATATTTTATTATGTTTAATTTTTATTATTTTATTATTTCCCTTCTACGTGACTTTACCGAAAGAACCAAGAAGAGAACATGTTTGTTTACATGTTCACCACAAGTAGTGTGCGGTTAATGCAGTAGTTGATTCCTTGCGAAATGTTTCTATTTGGTGTTTAAACATCTTAACACCCGTTTTACTGCTAAAGGGTCAAACTTATTCTTGTTTTCTTCATACTGGCAATAGAGGTCCCAATGAAGATATGATGCCAATTTTCAAGATACAATGCCAACGCGTGTCCGCCCGGAAGGGCCCCCCGCCACTTTGGAAATGGTTGACCAATTCCATGTTCATTCATTGGCTTGGTGTTTGGAGGATAACCGAGAACCCTGGGGAAACATTCACCCAAACATTGCTCAGCGGGAGTGGGGGGGGGGGTCACGATCCCACTTCCTCTACTGCCAGCAGGTTTGGGATTTTGTGTGCGATCCATCAAAGAGCCTGGGACCCATTGAGAGCAGTAGGGCTGAAAAGGGGCCATCCATTTAGTAGGTACGCAAAAATCTGTTAAAAATGTACCCCTCCCTGTACGCACGCGGACTTTTTACACCCCCCCCCCCCCCCGAATCCTATAGAACGACTGATATTTAATCCACGCAGAAACGATCAATGATTAATAATATTAACGCGTTTTAGCAAACAGATAGTCCACCGCCGGACTATCTAACTCATTTGAAGGCCAATGTCGACAAATTATTATCGAGCTTTCACCGCCCCCCCCCCCCCCGTTTCGTATGCGTACATTGTCAGTAGACACCCCCCCCCCATACGCAAGCGTACGCATTTGCTGAGGTGTGGACTCGAGTCATGTGACTTGGACTCGAGTCAGACTCGAGTCATGAATTTGATGACTTCAGACTCGACTTGGACTTGCATAACAATGACTTTGTCCTACCTCTGAGGTGTGGACTCGAGTCATGTGACTTGGACTCGAGTCAGACTCGAGTCATGAATTTGATGACTTCAGACTCGACTTGGACTTGCATAACAATGACTTTGTCCCACCTCTGCGCATTTGTGTTACCCCCCCGCCCCCCTCCATGCGTACGTACTGAATGTACAATAATTCACTCGATGAGCCGAGAGCTCAACTTGCTGGTAATGCGAGTTCCGGTACATGCGCGTTGCGTATTAGAGGCCACGTGTTCTGTATAACATATCGATATTATTACGCGCACACAATAACCCGCCATTCGCCACTATGTGGCGGTGATGTTCCCACGGCGCTTGTGCTGAGTGCCACGGCACTCCGAGGCCACGCGGAAGAGTCGATGGCTCGCTGGCAGGAAGTCACGGGACAGAACCAGGCGCCGTGGGTCGACCGAGATGAGTGGCAGATGCGCCAGCTGTATTCCAATCTGTGCCAATTTTATCCGCCCAGCGCTCCGCTCGTTGTTGTGGGCGTCGATCCTCTGCCCTCCGTCTGCCCAGTAGCAGCGTCCTCCACGAGCGTCCTCCGCAGAGGCCGATCTTGACACCGCTGGTACCGGTCATCGGCAAGTCCACTCAGCTTCACGTCCCAATCGTGCGACAGCCCGGGTCCACGACAAAGCTCCAGCTCAGAGGGGAGACTCAGCTCCGTGAGATTCTGTGGCTCCACGAGGGAGCTCTGGCTCCATGACAGAGCTCCGCAAGAGAGCTCTGGCATATGACAGACTCAGCTCCATGAGACGTTTGTGGCTCCACGACAGAGCTCTGGCTCCATGACAGAGCTCCGCAAGAGAGCTCTGGCATATGACAGACTCAGCTCCATGAGACCTTTATGGCTCCACGAGGGAGCTATGGCTCCACGACAGAGCTATGGCTCCACGACAGAGCTCCGCAAGAGAGCTCTGGCATATGACAGACTCAGCTCCATGAGACCTTTATGGCCCCACGAGGGAGCTATGGCTCCACGACAGAGCTATGGCTCCACGACAGAGCTCTGGCTCCACGACAGAGTTCTGGCTCCATGACAGAGCTCCGCAAGGGACCTCTGGGATGACACTCAGCTCCATGAGACGTTTGTGGCTCAAAGACAGAGCTCTGGCTCCACGAAAAAGCTCTGGCTCCATGACAGAGCTCCGCAAGAGAGCTCTGGCATATGACAGACTCAGCTCCATGAGACGTTTGTGGCTCCACGACAGAGCTCTGGCTCCACGACAGAGCTCTGGCTCCACGAGGGAGCTCTGGCTCCATGACAGAGCTCTGCTTCTTTAGCAATTATCATGAATATACGGCCACTGCCAAAATGACTGATACACACCAACACAGCAGGTATCTTTGTTACATATTTTTAAAAAAAGACCTTTGAAGGCTTTAATTCTTTATATTATAAAACATACTGTGGTACAGTTAGACAATGTAGGGCTGGGTAGATTCGTCCGGCTATAAACATTATGTACACAGCGTAAGAGTGCTTAACAATGAACCAAAATCACCGCTCGGCATCCATCTCCCAGGCGCAGTCCTGGCAGAGAAGGGGTTAAATTTTAACTTACAAGATATATACAACTCTGTACATTACAGCCACGACTGTTCGGGAAAAAAAAAGAATAAATATTCACGCGCTTTAAATTTGTCTAGCACCAAAACAGGCACAATATATAAAGAAAAACAATCGTTTAAAAAAAAGAGTTGAGGCTGGGTTTAGGGCAAACAAAACAATGGTTGCAGAAAACGAATTTCAGCTGCGGACACATTTCGAGACAGAAAAAAATTTAAAACCCAAGGTACGAGTTGGAACAGGAGTCACAAAACCTTGCGGCTCTAAAAAGGAACTTGCTTCGTGGCATTATTTATTAAGGGCCTCCCGTCACGTATTTTCATCACGTGCATTGTGGCTCTTGATATATTTAGGGATGGGGGGGTTTGTTTTCTACTGAATTCGGAAGTCAAAAAAATGATTTCGTTATTTTGGTCGTCGATCCCTGCGGGTTAGAATCACCTCTCCTCCAGACCGAGTGATGGATGCACACGCGTTCTTATCCAGACGCGTTCACAAACACAAAAAACAAACTTAACAGCACTCGCTCGCTCTCGTCCAAGTGTTCGTTTGATCGGTGTGTGAATGATTCTAGTCTTAGTCGAGTCGAAGACGATACGCGTGGAGTTAAAAACAAAAATGCGTCGGCGGATTGCATCTCGTCACCAAGAAATGCTGACAAAATAAAATCCAGACTAAAATTCCACAGGTTGCCGCCAAGACAAGACTCGAAACAGACCTGACGTGGAGACCGACTAAACACCGCTCTCATCCCAACCGAACTGCTCGTCGTGCCGAACGGCAACATTCCCTCCGTGTCGCGACACCGCTCCACCAACACCTCCGAGGGACCGATCGCTCCTCGCACGCGGGCACACAACCCCCTGAGAAACTTCACAGTTCGAACCGCCGATCGCCGGCAACGCCAAAAGACTCGGACCGATATTTCTACAACAGCCAATTCGACAACGGTCACCGCGCGCGTGAAGGACGATGGGCCAGCGCTGCAGATTTCTAAACTCCAGGATAAAACTCGGGCAATTTGCCATCGGTGAAGCATTTGTTAACGCATACGTTTCTTTCCGGCCAATTAAAACAACTTTTTAGAAAGAATGTATTCGATTTGAGAGCACAACAACCTCGGATCGTCATTTTTACCTCTTGCCGGTGACCAATGGGACGTTGCCATCACAGTTGCCCACGAAGGGAAGCAGCGATGACACTTGTCTGGGTCTGGACAGCCACATTGATATCATTATAAATCGAGGGATGTGCTGAAAAAACTCGACAACCCACAAGATCTGTCCAGAAAGCAGTGGGAGGCTTTTGTTAACAGTCAGTTAATTAAGCGGATGAGAAATGTGATTCCGGTCATTGTGCGACCATGTGTGCGTACACGACACAATAAAAACTATGAAAATGGCATGTAACCTGTTCAAAAAGAAGTTTAGCGTAGGTTATATGAATATGTGGGGTGATCAAGCCTTTCCAGCAAACCATTCATTCGCAGACGGCGACCATCCTAAAATTACCCGCGGTGCACCATGGGCACAGTGTTCAGAGAAAACGTTGCTCCTGCTTTCCCGCTCCTGAGCTTGATACGTGGTAAACATTTGAAATCCCGACGATCGACTCCGGTGTCAAATCCAGGTCCGAGCGTGCGGTGCGAGCACTTCTACGATCCCGATGGCGTCACGCCGGGCCACACACCATCTTACCTGTGCCGGCGACCAGCAACCATGCCCGCACACAAGTGACTTCGCCCGGCGAAGCAAACTTCACTCCCGTATCACCCCAACGACAACAACGCGCGGCTCCTAGAGAACCCGAGCGCGCTCCCCACGTCACCGCCAAACCAAAAATTCGGCTAACGTCAAAGTAAAAAAAGAAAAATCACAAACGCCCCATTTAACAGTACTCACGTTTTTCCATTCGCCAGCGCTCAATTACAAAACTATATACAGGACAGAATTACAAAGAGTGCACGGAGAAAGAGCCAGAAGCTCCGGTGGGAGCCCACGCCGCGCTATGCACACGGTGGACTTGGGCCCCCGGGTGTCTTATGTACAGCCCCAAAGCGATTAAAATACAAGATACGCAAACATCCCCCCCCACCCACCCCAAATGAAAGTGACTTAGAAAACATCGTCATCATAGCTCCCCTCAACAAAACCCCTAACGCAGTCACTCGCAACAACAAAACCATAAACCACAATCTCGCACACGAAGAACGCCCGGGCGTCCGAGCCAGCCGGAACGGCAAGTCCCTGCGCCGCGCCGGTAAGGAAGGGACCGATTCTCGGTGGCGACGGGGACACGTGTGTCACATCCGCAAAGTCAAACTCGCAAAAACGAAAACTAAATATTCAAGCAACAAACTTTTTCTCCAAAAAAACGGTTTTCCCAGTTTTGCGATCTTCCCGGAAGAAAACCGTGCTCGCTGTTCGCCGCTGTAAACCGTGGAACAGGTTGAGGGTACTCGGAGGGATGGGGGGGGGGGGGTGGTGTAGCGGCGCTGTCACCCCACCCCCATCCCCTGGCACCCCGTGACCCCCCCCATGTCAAGTCAACCCGGGGAAAAAAAAACACGTGAACGAGCACCTCGAACCGGGCGCGAATAACGACGAGAGCTCCGCGGAAAACGCAGAACGGGACGGGGGATTGGGCGTGTAAAAACGTGTGCGCATAATGAAACGCTGGCATGTCGTCCTCCTCCTCGCCAGCATTGAGCAATCAAAAAGAGTTCCATCTCCCTCCTTTGCGAGTGCTTCTCCCGTCACAAAAATATACTATTTACATTTTTTTTTGCTTTTGCACGCATTTCAAAAAGTTCACCAGTAGCAGCAATGTGAAAATAAACAATCGGCCTCCTCTCGGCGGTGCCGGTTCCACGTCGTCGTCGTCGTCCTCGTCGCCGTTCAGACCGGTCGGGCCATTCGCGTCGCCGTCAAAGGCCGTGGCGCCCCCACGCTCATTTTAGGGCGATCATGAAGTTGCTAAATGACTTTCTATCGTCAACAATGCAGTTGTCCAAAATCTGGACAAATCTGACCGCTGCTCTGCCCATGGGCGGCTGCCAATCGGATCACAAGACAGGCGTCACGTGGCATTATATGGTTACCCGAGGTGATGTGCTCTGAAAAGCAATCACTCTTCATCAAACGCACTTTTTAATCATAGATTTACTGTTTTCTTGGTATGTTATTGCACATGTCGATTTTACTGTTCTGTGTTGGTATGTTTTGCTACTTTCAAGAAAAACTCTTGTTTTCATTGGCTAGGGGGGAACTCTATGCCTCCATACCAAATGGCGAACCAAGTTGCCACCGTGAATGCGTTTGCTGGAGCAGATTGCCGGTGACCATTGCCCTAGAATTGCTCTGGTCCTTCACGGCCTTTGACGCGACGCGCCAGTTGCCCGTGCTGACCATCGACCCACACGCGCAGCTCCTGTCCTCTTTGCCTGACCGACCCAGGGAACTTAGCTCGCCCGCTCGCCCTGCCCCATTCGAGGAGGTGAGATCGGCCGAGCTGGTCGGGTGAGCGAGCGAGCAGGCGAACGGATGATGTGCCGGCGTCGCTAGTTCAGGGTTCCCCGGCAGTTTTCGGCACCGCAGAGACAGGGGATCTTCTCGTCCTCGATCGGGAATTTGTAGTCGTAGGTGATCTCCTCGTTGACGGCGATGGCCTGCTTGGAGTAGATGACGATCTTCTTGTGCGAGTCCACGGTGATGATCTTGGCGTAGCAGTTGGGCTGAAGATGGGGAAAACAAAGCGAACGGGAGGTGAGCGGCGGCGGTTGTCACTGCCAGCCAGCGCACGCGACGCCGCGGGCTCTGGGTTTTGCGCGCACGAGTGAGAGCGCCACCGTCACTCGGCACGCCGTGACCGTCGCGTCAGACGAATCAACCAACAAAGGCTTTGATACGTGACGTGGATAGTTAATAGGGGGGTTGATTAGAAAGCCTGCGATGAAACCAATTATTACGCAACACTAGCCATGCTTACAATCACGTGTGAAACGGATATTTAAACCGCATGACAATTAGATGCAAAAATTACACTGAGGCCAACGGATCAGGCACAAGTGTCTAAAAATCAAGAAGCTGCACCCTTCAAAACCTCCATATCTAAACATTTGTAGGCCTATCATAAAAAATGATACAAAAAAATATAAAACAAAGTTTTTGAAATTTTACTTCTGTGGATTTCACACCTGATGATGATTGCTTGTGTTGCAGTCGAAACGTCGTGAGAATTTTTATTGTTTTGTGTTTATATTGTTTTGTTGTTTCCCTTCTGCGTGACTTTACCGAAAAAACCAAGAACATAAAGTTTTGATACATATTTTTGGCAGCCCAAATGACCGAATGTTATTTTCAAGATCAAATTAAATACATTTATATTTGTATTCAGCACCCCATGAAATCTGCAGACGCAAACTTCCATAGGCCTAGATTCCAAAAGAAAGAGGGTTCACAACGTTCTCCGCTCCTCGCCTGGAAGAGCACGAACAACGGAAACCTCCTTCGTGAGATCGCAAGGGGAGGGGAGGGCGGGTGAACGCCGCCACTCACGTTGCAGCTGTGGTTGATGAACCGCGCCAGGTTGCCGCACTTGGTGGCGTCGATGATGTGGTCGTGATCCACGCGGAACATGTAGCTGCTGCCGATGCCCTCCTTCTCGTAGTGCCGCTCGCGCATGTCCGCGATGACCTGCGGCGCCACGTGGCACACGATCAGGACCCGCCCTCCCCCACCACCACCACCACCCACCACAAATACGAAGGAGACGACCACCCGAATGTGAAATTGTAGTTGTTGCTCTGCATCTACATCAGCCACACGGAAGAAGGACCCCCCCATCCTCCTCCCCCCCCACCCGTCCCACCCTCCCCACCCACTCGTCCCACCCTCCTACCAAACCGTCACCCCTCGAGGACGTCGCCCCCTGCCGCCCCCTGCCGCACCCCCCCCCCCCCCCCCCCCGACGTACGCCTGTCCCCCAGAGGTGAATACGCGATCGCGTGGCCTGGCCAGAAGCGCAAGCGTCTTCTCACGCCGCACACCCACTCGTTTTCTTTAGAACCGCTTCACGTATTCAATTTGGTGTCCTTCCGCCCTCCACCGCACACCTCCGATAATCACGGTTGGCTACGTGCGGTGCGAAAGAAGTTCAGCGTACGGTACGGTACATCCACGCGGCCGCTGCTCGCTTGTGGATGGGATGTGTGACTCAAGACGCTCCCTTTACTCACGCATCCACGACCGTGCGTGCGCACGATCCATCGACCGCTACTCGCCACGTCTCAGTTCGGCCTCCGCTCAACTATTCGATGAATTTAAGTTTTTTTTTTCGTTCTCACAATTACGGCGCCTGCAGCATCTTCAGTTGCTTGTCCACTGACTCGCAAGCATTTCTAGCAAACTAATGCTGGGAAAGGGCAGCCCCAACTCTGGTAACTTGGCACGCACATCACGGAAGAAGAAAAAAAACCCACTACTTTTCCTTCAATCAAATCAACCTGTCCGTCCAACACGAGTTCGGCACGCAATTTGAGCAACCCAGGCCAAATCCGAGTCTGCCGTCCCGTGGCAACGCGGTATCCAAGGCTGCCCCGACAATCTACGCCGATGAATTCCCTCAGTCCCTGCGGCAAAGCTAACCGGCACGCTTCCGTGGTCCCTGGAATCAGACCGAGTTCCGAGCGAGAGCGTCCGAGGCTGAGTTGGGGTGGTGGGGGGAGGTGGGGGGGGGGGGGGGGGGGGGGGGGGGGGGGTTTTAACCCACCTGCCGGATGCCCTCGCCGACGTATTCGATCACCATCTCGTCCGCCGCGATCGGCTCCAAGGCGAAGAGGCCCCAGTCGTGGATGTCGCTCTTGGTGAACTTGAGCTTCTTCTTGCGGAACTGGAGACACAGACGTGAGAGCGCGCGCGCACACACACAAAGGGTCATACGGAGACCTTGCTTAAATTCCTGTGTGTCTCATGAGCGCCTTACTTCTCATCTCAGCCATTCCGACTGCTTGCTACGGTCTAGCCAAGGAGACCCCCCTCAGTGGATTTTCTGTTTGCACTTAGTCACATATTCACTTTAAGATGTTTTCTTGTTCATGTTTTTTTGTTGCAGTTGCACCCGAATCAAGAGCCGAATGGATCACAGGGCTATACTTAATAAATAAACTTGAACTTGAGTGACAGCCGTCTCTGTGCGGCACGAGGTGTATGCAGGAATGGCCTGCAAGTAGGCCTAAGTCAGCCATATACATATTACCACACATATGCGTACAGGAACATGCGTACACAAGCAAAGGTAAAGATCTCCCGTACAGCCTTTAAGAGACTGTTGGAGCAGCAAGTGCTGTTAGAGAGCACCGATAAAGGCTTGCATGGCACACGAGGGATGGGGTGGCCAGCACCATGCCTGATCATCCCCTTCGTCTCTCCAGTGATGATGTGATGATGTGATGTTTACGCATCGCCCCCTCATTTCAAGCCGAGTCTACCTAGGGGAGGCCCAGGATTAGTTCAGGTAATCTCTGCCATCGTAATTGGCCGTGAGCGGGAATCCGAACTCGGGTTGCCGGGTTCGTAGCGCAGCGTGCTCACGGACACACGCGCACGGACACACGCGCCCGGACAGGCGTCGTCCTGTAACCGTGAGCGGTGCGCACCTTGAGCTGGTTGAACTTGAAGAGGTCGCTGTCAGCCGGACCCCCACTGCCGAACGACGCCAACAGCCTCCTCTGCTCCGAGCGCCGCTCCGAGCCGGCGCGCGTCGACAGAGACGGCTGGGCCGGGATGCTCATGCCCTGCGAGCGAGACGACCGACAGAACGACGCCAGGATGAGGCCGGAAGCACAACAACATCTCACCAGGGTCAGGATGGAACCGCAACAAAATGACGTCGGGGTCAGGCCGGCTCGCAAGTTTGTTAATCCACTGTTGAGGGCCCACGGGACCAGGACGGTCTCAGTGGCAAAGCGTGGCCCTGCATGCGGAACGAGCAGAGTGAACCTATCAACTATATACAGGGTCCATACTCTCTGGTTCTTTCGGTAAAGTCACGTAGGTATAAAATAAAATAAATCACGATGTTTCGGGCGCAACACAAGCGTCCGTCTGCCTCAGCAGCAGACCATGCTTTCCCACCTGTAAAAAAGGGCACAGCAAAATAACTGTCGCTACAGTTATTTTGCTGTGCCCTTTTATGATTTAATTGATTTATTTGCATTTATTATTATTTAATTTCATTATTTTTTACCTATGTGACTTTACCGAAAGAACCAAAGAGAATGGATTCCTGCAGTCACGAAAACTTCAAATTAAGATATTCAGGGTGTTTAAAAAATATGGACCCAATTTCAAAGCAGTATATTTCACGATGGCAACATGTTACAATTACACAAAAAATTACAAACGGTTGAATGAGTTATCAAGTTTTACTAACCATTTTATAAATACTACATGTGCCCTCCACCTGCTGTACGGACAACATCGAGACGATAGTTGAATTCGTCCCAAACGCCTCTCTTCTCACGTTTTCCTCTGAGGTGCGTGGTTGCCCCGTGCTCTTCCCCGCACATAAACAGCCTGCTTCCTCAAATTGTCGGTACCAACGACGAATGCTCTTTGACATTGGCGGATCAATGCCAAAACTCCGTTGAAACGCACGCTGCACTGCAATTACAAATTTAGTCTTGCTAAACTGCAGAACGCTAAACGCCCCTTGTATTGCGGGGTCACCATCTTGCGAATGACTGAGGCTAGGGGCTGTTTATGCACTGGGAGAGGCATCTAGCAGTAATCAGTTGAAACTCTATGCCCCGCCCTTTCAAGTGGTAAGAGTTTCATTCATGGGCGGTTTGTGGCTGGAGAGATATACTGATTTCAAATCGGGTCCATCTTTTTGAAACACCCTGTATATTAAAAAATGACCGGGTAAGACAAACTGAGCTGTTTCGCTCTTTTTCAGAAGTGACCTGGCCACAACTGATAGCTCAATGAAGTGGCTTATCGTCTGGAAATGTATTGCAGCCAAATACTCTAAACCCGGGGAAAAATCCACGTGACCACGGGGAGAGACATGTACAAACACACGTTGATTATAAATGTGGAGGGAAAAACTGGAGGACCCGATGAAAAATCCACGCGAAAAAAGCGTGAGAGAGACACGCAAAGTCCAAATATACAGCGGGCGTCAGGGTCAGGATCGTCCTGCATACGAGGCCAAGTGGTTAACATCTGGCCACCGCGTCGCCCGCCGGTGAGGACCCAAGGTACGAGGACGGTCTCATTGGCAAAGCGCGGGCCATGCGGCAGGAACGAGCGAAGCGCGCACGGGGGACGGGCGGTCGTCGGGGGTCACCTGCGTGTCGGCCGGAAGCTGCTCGTCCAGCGCGACGAGCCGCTCGGCCAGGTAGTGCGCCTTCTCCTTCATGCTGATCTTGTAGTAGCCCTCGCTGCGGGCACAGCCCGTCGCGTGCTCGCGCAGCCCGTCGCTCGCCACCTTCTTGCGGTGCCCGCGCCCGCCGGGACGCTCGGCACGCGGGATGTGCGTGTGTGCGGCGCCGTCAAGGAGCGCAGCGGGGCGAATTGTGCGTGCGTGGTGGTCACCGCGCGTGGTGGTCACCGCGCACCCACGTGTTTGCGTTGACCCATAACCACCTGTGGTTTATCTTCTTGGTTCTTTCGGTAAAGTCACGTAGAAGGGAAGTAATAAAATAATAAAATAATAAAACATAATAAAATTATTCTCACGACGTTTCGGCCACAACGCAAGCAGCCGTCCTCAGGTGAAGAATGAAACACCACCAAGCTTGGAGCGTATATTTAAGCTGGGTTGGGGGGGGGAAATAGACGCTCCAAGCTTGGTGGTGTTTCATTCTTCACCTGAGGACGGCTGCTTGCGTTGTGGCCGAAACGTCGTGAGAATAATTTTTTTATCTTTTATTATTTTATTACTTCCCTTCTACATGACTTTACCGAAAGAACCAAGAAGATGAATCCCTGAAGTCACGAAAGCTTTACACCTGTGGTTTGTCCCTTGACCTCGTAAAATGTCTCTTCGGTTAGTTGTGCAATACTGCTCGAAGACAATGTACTCATTCTCTACAATATTGATGTCTTTGTTTTGTTGTTGCTGTACTCACGTTTGTGTGTCCGTGCGTCAATGTGTTCATGTGTTTGCATCTGGTGGTGTTGGTGTATTTGTGTGCTTGTGTTCGTGTGCCCGTGTGAGTAGTAGTGCAGCGGTTAGCGTGCTGCACTACAAGCCCGGTGACACGAGTTCGATTCTAGCTCACGGCCAACATTAGTGACGATTATCTGAACCGGTCCTGGGCCTCCCCTAGGTCGACTCAGCCTCATATGAGGACCTGGTGCTGTGTGTAAAACATCGCCACAAGGAAGCTAAAGCTCGTCGGGCGTGGTGCTGGCCACCCTCGTGTGCAGTGCCGGCCTTCATAGGTGCTCGCTAACAGCACTTGCCTCAACAGACTGTTAAGGCTATACGGGGGATCTTTATATTTGTGATCGTGCATTGGGGTGGGGGGGTGGGGAACGGTGGTACAGTGGTTAGTGCTGTGAACCTGATAACCCAAATCCGATTTCCAGCCATGGCTATCCTCAGTAGCAAGCGATTCCTGAACTGGCCAGAGAGCCCCCCCCCCCCCTATAAGGTGTCTGGCCATGCCAGCCTTAATAGGTGCACGCTGGCGGCACTTACGTACATTCAAGGCTAAAGAAGGGACCTTTGCTTGAGCCGTCTGTACGCAGGCGTGTCGCGGCGCGTACGCGTGCGGGGGTGCGCGTGCGGGGGCGGGGGTGCGCGTACGCGTGCGGGGGTGCGCGTGCAGGTGCGTGCGACGCTATCACGGGAAGGATATGAGGGTGAGGGACCCAGTGGGTGTCGTTGAGCCACTCCATGCTGTTGTCCTGCGTCAGGAGGCTCGCGTAGGTCGTGCGCAGGTACTCCACGTCCTCCGCGTCGATGCCCATGTCCCAGATGTCGTAGAGGATCGCCATCTCCTCGAACTGGCTGCGCGGGCGGAACTGGAAGTCGGGCGGCGAGGGCGGCGGCGTGGGGATGCGCGCCGCCAGCCCCTCCGACGGCCGCAGGCCGCGCCGCCGGCCCTTCCGACCCATCTTGGGCCGCGTGGCCGCCGTCGCCTCCGCGAGGAGGCCCTCGGCCAGCGCCGTCTCGACGCCGCCCCTGTCGCTGCCGCTGCTGACGCCGCCGCCGCCGCCGCCGCAAACGCCGACCGGCGTCAGCGCGTCGGGGACGGGGACGGGGACGGCGGCGGCGACGGCGGCGGCGGCGATCGGCGTGACGCCCGGCTGCGGCGTGGACGTTCTCACATCCACCTTGGGAGCTTCTGAGTGGGGCGGCTCCTGAGCGAGGGGTTTTGGCAGGAAGGCCTCAGGCAGGACCTCGGATTTGATCGTCTCGGAGAGCCGGTCTTCACTCCTCTCCTCCTCCTTCAACTCCTCATCTTTCAGCACCTTCTTTGTCACGATGTCATCTTTCGGTAACTCTTCCTTCACCGTCCTCTTTATGACAGCGTCGTCTGCTAAAACCTCATCTTTCAGTGCCTTTATCAAGACCTCCTCTTTCAAAACCTCCTCCTGAACGGTCCTCTTTTTAACGTCGTCTTTCAAGGCCTCTTGCTTCAGTGGCTTCTTTCTCATTACCTCCTCTTTCAACACCTCATCCTTCACCGTCCTCTTGTTGATGACGTCGTCATTTTTGGTGACATCCACGTCGTCTTTCAACACCTCTTCTTTTAGAACCTTCCTTTTCAAAACCTCTTCTTTCAACTCCTCTTCTTCCACCGACACCAGCTCCTCTTTCAGGTCGTGCACCTTCTCAACGAGCTTGGCTTGAATAACCATTTCCTCGGCCGCGCCCGAAAGCCTCAAGTCCTCCGCGTCACGAGTCCTGGAATCCCGCACCGCCTCCTCGGCAGGCGACGCCGCCGAAGCGTCGCCCTCCACCTCGTCGCGCGGCGGCGACATCTCCTCGTCCGGCGGAGTGAGCCTCGACTCGGTCTCGATCGAGGTCCCTATCGGTCGAGACTCTGAGTCCCGGGCTACGAGCTCCCCGCCGTCCCGGGAGGACCGCGTCTTCTCGGCGGACGAGGGGGGCCCCGGGAGGAGGGGAGGCGAGGCGGCGGCTTCGCTCGTGACGCACGGCGCGGGCACCGTCTCCACAGGAACAACTCCCCTGCGCTTCGATCTCAACTTGGTCTCTGCCGGCTTGGGGCTCTCGGTGAACGAGGCCGCTCGCAGGCGCAGCTCGCCGACGACGCGACGATCCTCCTCCCGTTCCTCCTCCTCCGCCTCCTCCGTCTCCTCCGTGGTCTCCTCCGGCGCCTCCACTTCTCGCTTGCACACGACCTCCACTTCCATCTTCTCCGCCGCCGGGCGCCCGAGCTCTCCGTCCTCCCGCTCGTCCTCCGACGGCCGTGTCGCTCCGTCGGCCCGCGACTCCCGCGCGCCCTTCTGCGTGATCTCGGCGAGCAGCTCGGCGGCGACGTCGGCGGCGGTGCCGGAGTCGGCCTTGTACCGCAGGTTTTTGCCGAGCTCCGCCTGCAAGGCCGACTGCTGCGCCGAGAGCTTCAGTGTCACCACCTTCTCCGTCCGGTCTGCGTCCACGTAGCGGAACTGCTTGAGCTTCTCCCAGTCCCTCGAGTGTAGCATCACCACGGGCCGCAGCTTGATCTTGTCCGACGTCGACCTCTTCGATTCCTCGCAAACGTCGGCGACTTTGGCCTCGGACCTCGGCTTGCAGATGTCATCGGGGGTCACGGCGGGGGACGAGGCCTGCGGCGAAGCGACGTCGTCCTTCGTCTCGGACCGATCCCTCTCGTCCACCGGCGGCTCGGGCGAGGGACGACTCTCCTCCAGCGCTTCGTCCTCCGACAGGAAGGAGAGTATGGCCGACACGGCCCCGTTGTGCTCCGGGACGTCGTCGTCCGATGAGATGTCGCACTCGATCTCGCCCCTCCTGAAGAGACTCTCGGTCCTCTTCTGGCCGCTCGACGTCTCCTTGCCGTCCAGCGGGGGCAAGGAGGTGTCCATCGCAGTGTCGTCGTCCTTGCCAACAAAGGTCCGCGAATTCTGAAACGAAGGAAACTCCTTGCCGGGCAGCGGCCCACAGTCGGCCGATGCGAGGACGCGCCGCTGGCTCTCGCCGTCACTGGCGGCCGGGCTGCGCGGCAAAGCCTCGGCAAATGGCGACACGAAGCCCATGTCCCTGCCGGGCGTCACGGGGATGTTGAGGTGAAGATTCGGCGACCGCGGAGGGAGCAACGTCGACCCCGACAGGGACCCCAGGAGCGACGCGGGAGTGACAGAGTCCGACAGCGACGTCCGCGCCGTCGAAGACACCCTCTGCGGCACGGCAAAGCCGTGCGGCGCCGTCGGTGGCGGCCTCTGCGCCGCAATCCTCCACGCGACGACGCCGCCGCCGCCGCAGGAGTCCGCATCCGACGAGGAGAGCCGCGGCCCCCGCGACTCGGGGAAGTCGACGTCGGAGAACGTCGACTGCAGCGGCGGGTCCCTGCCGGGCGTCCGAGGCACGTCCCCCTCCTCCTCGTCGTCGCACTCGGCCGTCTCCAGGTCGCTCTCGTCCGAGCGCGGCGGGGCGCCCGGTGGCGTGGCCGGCCCCACGCCGAGCGGTGCAACCGGCCGGCCCGGCGGAGCGGCCGCAACGGCAAGCGGCGGCGGCGGCGATGCCGCCACGGGGGAACCCGGCTCACTCTTGTGCTCGCAGAACGCCGGCAGGTCTGCAACAGTATTGGCATGTGATGTTAAGTCTATGGGTTTTGATAATTATCTATGGGTTCAATATCAGTCTACGGGTCCTATGTTATACTATGGGTTCTGTTCGTATGACTTCAATGTTAGTTAAGTCCTATATTAATCTAAGGGTTCTACAGCAGTCCATGGGCGCTTTGTTAGTCTATGGAGCCAATTGAATTCTACAGAGCGCACGTTTTGGATCTCAAATCCCTAATCAAACTTTGACCTGCATGACCGAAGCTGTCTCGGCACGACCGCCGATCTCACCGACGCCAAACGCACAGGCCGACGAGACTGCCAGCGACGACATGGCCAGCACCGGTCTGCCGGCGGGGGTGGGGGGGGGGGGTGAACACTTCACGGGCAGACGGGGACGGCGGAGCGAGAGGGGGCAACCCATACCTGCCGTGGGCACCTCGTCGCCCTCGTCGTCGGCGTCGAACGTGTAGTCCTCGTCGTCGCGCGCCAGCGCCGCCGCCACGGCACCAGCGCTCGCCCGCGCTCTCGTCTCGCGCCTCGCGCTCTCCTCCTCCTCCTCCGACTCGGACTCGGACGACTCGGACGACGAAGAGCTGCTCTCGTACTCCGAGGAGGAGGAGGACGACGAGGAGGAGGAGGACGACGACGAAGACGACGACGACGAGGAGGACGAGGAGATGGACAACGAGGCCTTGTCCGCGGGGCGGGCGTCCGATGGAGACACGCGACTCGCCGTCTCCAGCTCAGACTCCGGCTCCGATTCCGACTGCGTCTCCGAGCCAGAACGCGACTCCGACTGCGACTCCGAGCCGGATGCGGAGGTCGACTCCGTGCCGGACTTTGAGGAGACCTCGCTGGCCGTCTGAGCGCCTGTGGAATGAGTCAATAGGAAAGAAAAGCGTTAAGGGCGGTTTTTTGTATTTGTGTTGAACCGAGCGGCCCCGAGGAATGCCCGATCACCTTTGCAGGATCATGCCCGGTTCAAAACGTGCATACATTACGCAGTCTAAACTAGATTTTGCGAATCGACTGTTGGAATCGTGTCTGTGGTCCGGCCGGCGTCGTTACCATCCGATTCCATCTTCACGTCGACTGCTCGCGCCTTCTTCTCCACGTCAGAGCGTTCCTCTTCCACCACCTCCGCCAATTCCGCCGCTGCCTCTTCCGTCTCTTCCACATCATCATCTTCTTCTTCCTCCTCCTCCTCCTCATCCTCCTCTTCCTCGTCCTCCTCCTCCACTGACATCTCTTGCTCCTGGGAGAAAAGGGCGGAATAGAATCAGTGTAAAGTGAAGCTTCATCTGAAAAGGGTTGTTGTTTTTTGACCCAAAGTCCGATGACGGCATAGGGTCACCTGATAAAATGTTCTTTCCCCATGAACTTCTATTCTGTGCCATGCACTATCCTCATATCTCATTCCACCACATCCTTCCATCTCTCCCGCGGTCTCCAAAAGTATGCTGCTAACACAATTTCATTCATCGCAGAAATGATCGACGGATTGATCGACTATTTCCACGGCGTGGAGCGCCCTTCGCGTGTGACGACGGCGACGCAGGGTGGATCGCCGTTTGGATGGGGCGACGACATGGTGGATCCCCACCTTCTTCTCCTCCTCCTCTTCCTCCCCTTCGCTGTCGAGCTCCAGCGGCCGGGCCACCCTGTGCTTCCGCACGCGTCCAACCGGCTGCCCCTCGGCCTCCGAGGCGTCGCTCATCCTCTCCTCTGCTCACGCACACACACGCGCGCGCAGACACACACGCACGCACACACACACGCACGCACGCACGCACACATGCACACACACGCACACACATGCGCACACACACGCACACAAAAGCACACGCACAAAGGTGGTCGTCCATTGTGCTATTGGCAGTGGTGGAGATGTGCCGGTATGCAACGGGTTAAGGCCACGCTGATGCTAAAATACAGTATAATAAAATATGGAAACCTTCATCGTCTTCCTCCTCCAGCTCGCACGAGGGGCTCAGGCGCGCCCTCTTCTGCTCCGACACGGCAGCTGGCTCCGGGGGCTCTTTCCGCTTCACCTGGGGACATAGGAAGAAGGGAAGGAACCGTTTGGTGGTCACTCACGATGCTGCTGTCAAGTTACAATAAAAATGTTGTGGAAATGGAGCAGCACAACGTGATTAGAACGACTGATGAGAGGCGGAAGATTAACGCTGGAGGGGAGACCGGCAGAAGGGAAGAGAAGCGGAGGAAGACGGGGGTAGGGAAGACAGGAGCGAGACGGCACCAGATAGAGTTTGGAGGCCGCTATTGTACAGCAACAGCTGAGGAAAGAAAGTAACGGAAGAGAGCGAGGTGGGTGGGGGGGGAGGCCTTCGCCCAGCAGTGTGAAGTTACAGGAGGCCGACAACAACGTCCGCTCCAAGCGACGTCACGAGGGCGAGTCATCCCTTTGGCCTGGGACTGAGAGTCACCTTGAAGGAGGGCAACCTCAGCGCGCCGCGCAGGCCCATGCCGAAGCCAAGGCCGTCGACGCCCAGCACCGAGCCCTTCCCCCAGCTCTCGAAGGGCGAGGGCCCGCACAGCAACGCCGAGATGGGCTCCGCCGCCGCTTTGCCCGGCTCGTCGCTCTTTCCGCCAGCGTCCTCCGGCTTGGCGACCTCCTCCGACTTGCCGGCCTCTTCCTCCTTGCAGGGCGTCTGCGCGGCGGACGCAGGAGAGAGAGAAAAGAACGAGCGGTTGGATCTCAGCACTGTTGGGACACGGGCGCGACACTCGCTTTGACATTGTCTTTACGGATGCGTCCAGTATTTAATTGGCTAAATATATTGAATGAACGGTTGACAAATAAGGGATTAATGTGTTGATTTGCGTGGGCAAGATTTATTTCGCAATCTTATGTTTACACCACAAGAGGTTTGGCCAATTCAATTAATGCGTCGCGCGATTCATAACGGAGTTTTGAGTTTGGCCAAGTTACAATTATTAAGTTGCGACCTAAAAATTTAATTATGAACCGAATGGCATATTGGCTGTGAAAACTCACATTGTCAAGTTAACCGACTGCTGTGAGGAGGCTATTTTAAGTTAATTAACAAGCGTTCGTCTTCAGGTCGGAGGAAATCAGAGAACCTGTAACCCCCGTGGTCCGTGTGAGACAAACTAAACTATTTTAATTTTACTAGGTAAGGCCCACTGAGCTGACGAGGATGACGACGGTGACGAACCTGAAAAGAAAATAAACTCCCCATCCCGGCGAGCGACATTCAAGCACCTCACCTTGAAATTCCTCTCCTGCTTTTCCCACCAGTGGTCAAAGGTCTTGAAGGCGAGACCCTCCACCATTCGCTTCCTCACGTCCCGGATCATGATGTTCTTCAGCTCGGTCATCACGGCCTCCAGCACGCCATCGATCGTTGCCTGGTGGGGGTCGTCCTTCTTCTTGGGGGGCGGCCTGTACCCTGGCGGGGGAACCGCCGGGTTGAACGTCACCGGCGGCAGCGGCAGCGGCAGTGGCAGAGGAAGCGGCAGCTTGGGGTAGAGCTGCGCCGACGGGTAGGGCGGCGCGGCACCGCCAGACATCGGCGGCCCCTGCAAGTGACCCATGCCGCCCATGCCGACGCCGCCGGGACCGCCGGGACCACCGGCGCCGCCGGCGTGAGAAGGCCTGGGAAGCGGGTACGGGTAAGGGTACGGAGCGTGGGGCGCGGGCTGGCCCGGCGCGGGCTGGCCCGGCATCCCCGCCGAGTTGGCCGAGTAGCGCTGCATCATGTGTATGCGGCTCAGCATCTGCGTCTGCATCTGGAAGGACATGGGCGCCCCCGGCGCGGTGCTGCGGAACCAGTGCCGCACCAGCTCCGCCTGGTTGGGCATGCCGTAGTGGAAGTGGGGCAGCAGCGGCGGCATGGCCGAGTGGGGCGGGGGCAGCGGCGGGGGCAGCGGGGGCATCGGCAGCCCCGGGGGGGGCGGCAGCGGAGGCCTCAGGACGGAGGACGGCGGCGGAGGAGGCGGCGGCGGCGGCGGAGGCGGCAGAGGGGGCGGCACCAGCGTTGGCAGAGGAGGGGGCGGCGGAACGCAGGGAGGGGGCGGAAGGGGTGGCATGGAAAAGGGGGGCGGGATGGAGGGGGGGAATCCCGGCGGGGGCGGGTGGGGGGGCGGGGGGATCGGCGGGGGGGGCAGGTTGATGGGGGGCGGCCCCGTGGGGGGGATGGACGTTGGCAGGGGGTGGGGCACTGAGGTGGGTACGGGCGAGTTCACTTCGATGGGTGCGGAGATGGACGAGGACTGCCCCGTCTCATTGTCCGAGATGTCCATGTCGTCGTCCGACAGCTCTTTGGGAGGTGGAGGCTGCGGAGATCAACAAGAACACAAGGCCAATTAAACACCAAACATTTTACAAAGTGAACAATGGTCATGAGAAATAAAAATAAAAAATGCCACTGCCAGGCTCCTGACTCGCACCTGACACTCAGATCCCTCTACTGGCTCCCAATCCAATCGCAGATAAATTTAGAGATCACACTCACGATCTTCCAAGATCCACCATTGACTCGCTCTGCCCTTTCGTCTCTCGTGTCACTCTACTCCCCTGCACGCCCTCTACCACCTCTCCCGTCCCCTCTCCCTCCGCATCCCGCCACTCCCTCGGCTCCAGTAACCGCTGCGCACAAAACCGACACGACCCACCGACCCTCGCGCCACAGGCGAGCGTCGCCGCCTCCCGTCGCGGAGCGTTACCCTCGCTGGGCACCTCGACCATCTCCACGTCTGCCCCCCTGCTGTCCTCGGCGTCCACGATGGGCGTGGCGCACTCCGACGGCAGCCTGCCCTCGCCGTCCGACCTAGCTGGCAGGGGCGGCGGCCTGCTCGGCGTGGAGGGGCGGCTGTCGGGCTTGGCGCCACCGAGGCTCTTGCTGGGCGTCGCCGGGCAGCTGTCCTGCTTCGGCGTCTGCGGCCAAACGTCCTGTTTGGGCGTCTGAGTCCTGCTGCTCGGCCGCGACGAAGACGACGTCGTTGGCGTCGTCGGCGGCGGCTGCTGAGGTTGCTGCTGCTGCTGCTGCTCGGCCCTGGGCGTGTGGGCGCCGCCGCTCTCGGAGCTGAACGATAGGCGCGTGTCCGGGCTGAACACGTCCGGCTTCGAGGGCCTCAGCTCGCTGTCCTTGCGCAGCGTCGACACCATCGCTTCCACGCCCTTGAGGATCGTTGAGCTCTGCGGGAAAAGCGGCGACGCGGCGCTTAGTCAGTGTCGTTTCATTCATTTGGTTGGCGCGACGTGCGAGGGCAACGATACGATTTCGGACGTACGTTGCAGACACTTTAAAGAAGGCATGGGCGATCGTTAGTGTAATTGTGACCAAAGTCAGGGGTTCATTTCTCACTGAATTCTTTTCGGGTCGCTGGACTGGAGTAGGTGGCTCGTAATTGGTAGCCACAGCCATAGTGAGAGGAAAACTGGATGTGGCGTCCCAGGTGCCGAAATATTTTCTGGGCAGACCAGGCGGAAATTAAGCGCTAGGCATAGAACGTCAGCCAATTAGAACTCAGAGGTGGCCAAACTAAAAATGAACCATACAAATAAGGTTAGACAAATGGGACAAAAAGTATTGATTCTTATATTAAATCACAACAATTCATTAAATAGCCAAAATGTGAAAAAGTATATCTATGAATGCTTTTGTGTTTAATTTTTTGTGCTTCTCCCCGCACCTCCGATTAGCACAATTGGCTACATACGGTGAGAAAGAATTTCAACATACACGTACATAATGTCACTGCACTCACAATACCATAGATGTGAGTAACGATACAAATGACACAGTGAAAAATAAAAACCATACAGGATCGATTCTATCAATCAAATCACAACCAGTGCCCAAATCGCGACAATTCATCGAAATGGTTTTTCAGCAGCGGGGGAGAAGTTACGAATTGATCCATCCTCACCGAGCTCCTCTCGTCGCGACTGTCATCCACCTCATCACCAATGTCCGACTCGTCGGAGAAAGACAACGGTGTCGGCGAGATCTCCTCCAGCTCAAAGCCGTAGATGGTGGAGATGGGCGTGGGAGGCGTGGGCGGGGACGGAGGCCTCCTCCGTCCGCGCGTCGCCTCCCTCTCGCCGCTGGGGACGTTGTCGTCCATGAGGAAGGTGGGGAACTTCGCCCTCTGCTCCTTGAGCAGCATCTCGATGCGCGAGTCGAGGCTGCACGGCTGCGCCGAGCCCGGGGGACTCTCGCCGGGCAGGCTCGAGGAGGGGGGCGGCGTGGAGGAGGCGGAGGGCACGGGCGACGGCGTGCGGCGGGAAGTCTTCTCGGCGAGAGAGAGAGAGAGAGCGACACAAACCGGCGCCGAATCAAATCACGCAGGTGCGTTTGGTATTGGCGCCATTCTTACGATGCAGAACCATCACGGCGGGGCTCAGGTCCGCAGCAGTTTCATGGCAGGGGGCGAAGTTTGCGACGTGGCTTTACCCGTTTGGCTCAATTGCAAAAATAGTTTTTCAATTTAGCAAGTTTCGACAGTGACACCTGCGAGTTCCCACACAGTGTTAATGTTGCATCAACACTAATTTATAGCAACGCTTTCTTCGTATTGCACGACATAACAGACGGACGGCCAGAGCTAATGCATTCATGCTTTCTACATTAATTGCAAAAAAACAGATATATTCATTTTAATCATAGCTCTCTAGGGGAAGGTGGGAATTGTGTGAATGGAAAAGACTGTAAACTTGTAAAGGTGTCATCGAGGTGGGTCTAAGACGAGCCTTTAGACAATTCTACAGACGCAAACCGCCATCACTCCTCACCTTCACTCCGCTCTCCCGAGAGAGCGACGGTGAGTCAGCCGCCACCGATGCCTTGGCCGTCACAAACGAGCCATCACTCCCTTCCCCGTGCCGGGGCGGTCCCTCGCCGGGGGGCGACTTTGGCCGCTCCGGCTCGCCGTACGCTCCCGTCCACGGCGCGGAAGTCGGCGGAGCGGCCGTGGCGGTCACCGCCGCCGCCGCCGGCACCGCCGGGGTTGTCGCCGACGAGCCCGGGTATCCTGCGTAGGTTGTCGTCGTCGGCGGGGGAGGCAGCGGGGGGGGCGGATGATTGGGGAACCCGCCGGGGCGGCCGTGGTGGGCCGACCCGTGGAACGCCGACGGCGACGGCAGCAGTGGCTGTTGCCACGCCGTCGTCTCGGGCGGCGCCGCGAACGACTTGTGCTCGAGGCCCTGGCCGGCGTACCCTTCCGCCGGGAAGAACCGCTGAGTCGCGCCGGTTGCGGTGCGCCGCCCGCCCTCCTTCGCCGTCGTCGGGAGGTAGGCCGCCTCGTGAAGAGGGGCGGCTGACGACGAGGAGGAACAAGAGGCGGTGGGCGTCTGCGGCGGCTCGAGAGAGACCGGGGTGCCGGCGCTGTGCATCGAGCCGTACGATAGCGAGTCGACGGAGCCCGGCGTGCCGTGCTGCGTCGCCGACGACAGCGGCGTCGGCGGCAGTACCGAGGAGGAGGCCGGGGTATCGCGCAGACCGCTCGAGTAGGCCGTGTCGGTGGAGTAGGGCGTGTCGGCCGACGCCAGGCTCGCCGATGCAGCGCTCTGGTAGCAGCCGTTCTCGCTCAACGTCCGGCGGCGCGGGTCACAGGGCTGAGATGGCAGCGGCGGCAGCGGCGGCACGCACAAACGTCAAGGAGTTACTGTCGTGCGCTCGCAGCGTAGACCGGGTGAAATGGGTTTCAAGAAAGAAATGTCTTTGTCCCAGATGTCATCCCAATTGTGCTATGAGCATTATGCACCCCTCCGTGCTAGACAACGACCCAGGTAAACAAATATCACAGAGCTACCAGCGAGACCTCAAGTGACCTGTGGTCCATACAGTAGGGGCAGCACTTTTCCACCAGTCCTGTCGCTGAGAGTAACGTTTCACACATGATTGGTCAAAATTAAGAATGTTATTTACACTGCTGGAATTTAGAAAATTTAAGTGCACAACCAAATTTAACGTGGTGGCTATTTTTTTTGCTTGGTCATTGGTGGTTGGGCTGAGACCATCGATTCACTGCGTTTGAGACCCTGGGGTTTTACCGGTGTCTGTCTGGATTTAAACTTGGGATTTCAGCAGCGCCAGCTCAGCGCTCTGAACTCCAAGGCCTCTGGTCACCGTAAAACAAGTTTAGAGAAGAGGGAATTACAACAACGACAACAACAACAACAACAACACGAACAGTAAATACAGGAGAGCCAACCTCACCTGGCACGTGTCGGCGGGCCCCTCCTCCGTGAGCTTCTCCACCGGCAACGTCTGCGGCGTGAATTTCCCGCTGAGCAGGAGATCGTAGAGCTTCCCCCGCATCTCCCCTGGGCAGAAGGACAACAAAACGGTGGCGGTCACTCGCCGCTGTCACAGCTGGGCCATCGCGGGATGGCCAGTCACAGCTGTCTCAGCTGGGCAAAAAACGATGGGGCTCATCTCCTGTTTACAGGCCTGAGCCAGTGGTGGAAATTCCGAATTCCTTTGGCGTGGGGTGGGACTCTTCATATGACGACCACTATTGACTTCCCCAGCATGTGGTACTAATTTTATCGACCCCGGACGGATGATGATGATAGGCCGAGTTAAACCCCAATGAGGATCTGAACTCGCAACTTTCCGATTACGAGCCTCTCGCTCTAACCGCTGGGCCACCTGACCTGAGATCATACGTGCACACTGAAAACCGCACAGCTGATTGCACACCTCATTCAAACACACAAACACTCACACAGACAGTTATTCAGAAGCACACACTCCCGCACTCTCACTCATTCATTCCGAGTGCAACGGGGCTCGCCGAGCAATGCGTAAAAACCGGCGTATCGCCACAGCACCCCACAGAAATTGCACGCTCGTGTGTTAGCATCACAGACAACTTTGCCCGGCGCAAAATGCTGCGGCGAGGAAAGCAATTTTTACTTTTCAACTGAACCATCGGCCCAAAAGTTCGTTATTAACCAAAACCGTACGAATTAAAAGTACATCCAAACTCGTTGGTCAGGTAGTGGAAGGGGGACTTAACTGAGGGGCCGATTTTCCGGCCAACAGCACAGTTGTTCTCAGATTACACGACATTGTCTGGGACCCGCTGATGTCTGTTTGTCGCGGGTAACCCAAGTTGGGAGACGCACACGCTGCGTCCGTGTCGCCATGCTAATTTACGCAAACGAGGCAAACACTCGCTGTGTCTGCGTGTCCCCAGCAAACTTGGCGCTCACCACACATCACCCCATTACTTTGCCGTATTAGCCTTCACAGGTGTTCGCTAACGTACATATGTATGTTGAACTTCATTCGCACCATATGGAGCCAACCGCGCTAATTTCCCCAACAGTCTGTTAAGACTTAAGGCTGCATTTAATTAGCCTTAACTTGTGCGCGGTGTGGGGAACGGTGACGTAGCGTAATTCGCTGCGCTACGAACCCAATGACCTGACATCGATTATTGGCACCGCGGCCAACTTTAGTGGAACGGCGGCATGACCGAGCGGCGGCGCGTTCGCCGCTTGTTTGTCGCAAAGGTTCACGGTTCAAATCCGGCGGCCGCCCTGGTTATAACGACGGGCACAACAACCGGAACGATTGTTGCGTCTGCTTCACAGTTGACATTCGAGACGCCCCTGATGTCATTCGGAAGAGCGGGCCATTGCGTGCCGGCGTGAGGATCCAAATTTGCCAAGTCCGAAAATGACGCCGCAAGTTACTCAAATGAGATTACACAGCAGTAATCATCGCCCCCAACTGGCAGACTAATGCCCCGGGCAACTCTTGCAGGTGAGACTCTGTCGTCGTTCCTTGGGTTCTCACCTGGCTCAACAAAACAAACTTAAAACTTCGAGTGGCAAGCGTCATCTGAATAGGTGCTGGACCTCCCCTAGGGCGACTCAGCTTTACATGAACAGCTGGTGTGGTGATTTAAGGGCCCTTGTTACGGCGCAATCGACATGTCCGTTCCTATCCTCATTATTATTGAACATCAGTACTTGGGAGACAAAGGCGGCTCTGGAATGGTATTGGCCACATCGGCCTTTCTCATGTGTCACATGCTTGCCAACAGTACTTGCCCTGACAGCCTATGACGCTAAACATTTGCGTGTGAGAGAAATGTATGAGCACAGCAAGCGCCTCCTGTCTCAACCGGCACGCGATGCTAAAAAGGGAAATAATTTGGCAACTGCCAACCTCTCTTCCCTCCGGCCCGTGCATTCTAACATTTCGCCAGAGAATGCCGGTGATTAAGGGTGTGACGATGCATAGATTCACCAATTAATATTGTTCTTGAGCTCACCGCAGATGTATCGAATCACACTGCGTAAAGAGCAGAGTTCTTCGATTCACATATACGGAGTGTATTGCAGGTGATTGAAAATCTTGTAATTATTGGAGATGGATACGGACTTTCAAATTACCTGACAACCCTGGTAAATTTTGCAGCGAACTTTGGGTGAGAGAGATTTGTGGATCCCTAGTCAGGGTGAAAAATATCACCGCCAGCCGACCCCGGCGATTCAATCAATCGGCACGATTCAAGGCTGCGAGTAAATTCAATCAACGTTTTTGTTGACGCTGCGGTGAATGGAGCAGCGCCTCCCGCGGATGGAGGGGTGACGCTAACCAATTGAAAGTGACAATACAATCGATCGAAAACAATGGATCATCGCGAGCAACAATGGATACGTGTAGCATCCCTTGGTGATGCGTCGTTACGTGCCCGGGCACACATATCATTAAGGAAGGGTGCCAGCTAATTTTACACGCTCCTAGTACAAAACACAAACCAGTTTCCAGGCCGCCACATATCTAGGTTTGCTTCTTGAGGAAAGGATAAGGCTACTTAAAAAAAAGTCCCGTTTATCTCATTGGCAGTCCAGCACCGCGCAGCGGCCAGGAGATTCACAGTATGGCAACGGATTCTAGAATCTATCCGTGCGGAGTTTTGAGTGCGAGGTGGCCTGTTGTGGACAAATGGAGAAATTGTGTCGTGGAATTGACCGGCCTGTGCGATACGAACATCGGCGTCCCGTGAGGATTAAAGAGCGCAAGCTCCTCATTAAGCTGGAAAGCTCTTCCACACAGGAGTGGCTATCAGCGAGTTTAACGATGCACTGATACATTGATTCAACTCCGTCCATTTCTACTTTCCCGATACATGCATTCAGAAAATTGCACGTGCAAAGATCGCTGTGTTTTGATTCGAGTATGTCGATGTTCTTGACTGTTATAAAGTTGAGTAGATTTCGGTAGGAGGCATCATGCCTCCTACCCAATTGAGTTTTCAGGTCCATATGGTGTACAGCCGTTCAATACGGGCAAAAATAATGTTTTGTCTATTTGTTTTGTGTTTCTCCCTTGTGATGGGACTTTGTAGGATGAACGTTGAGATTTACAAGGGCTCGAGGTGACCAATAAGGTCTGAATTGGTCTGTAATAAGGTAGGCGCTGATAAGGGGTTGACAGGTATGCATCATGTCTAGAAGGGATGATAGTGGCCTAGTGTTTGGTTGAGTGTGTGTTTAAGTATGTGTGTTGGAGTGCGTGTATTTAAGCATCTTTGAGTGTGAGTTCGTTGAAGTGAGTGTGTTTGATTGAGTGTGAGTGTGTGAGTGAGTGAGTGTGGGCGTGCATCTTTGATTGAATGTGCATGGAGGTGAATGTATGTTTGCACACGTTTGAATGAGTGAGTTTTAGTGAATGCATATTTGAGTGAATGAGAGTGAATGACAGTGTTTTATTTTGTGCACACGTGGGAGTGAATGTATATTTAAGTGTTTGAGTTTGAGTGTGTGTATAGACACAATTTTTGTTTGTGGGGAGTGGTTGTGCAGCGGTTAGTGCGTTGCGCTACGAACCCGACGACCTGAGTTTGATTCCCGCTCACGGCAAACACCAGTGGCCATTATCTGCACCAGTCCTGGGCCTCCTTCTCAGTATGTATGTTGAACTTCTTTCACACCGCACATAGCTAACCACGCTTATCGGAAGTGCGGGGAAGGACAACCTGGTGTGATGTATAAACATCATGGTTCTGTCCACACCTCGTGTGCTGTGCTAACCTTCCTAGGTGCTCACTAATAGCACATTCTGAAATGGCTATAAGGGAATCCCTTGTCGATGACTTTTATGCATCACATTCTAGTCACCACGATCCAGCAAGTGAAAGGGACTATCTCTCATTCATTCCTCCACTGCACGCTGCAGCATACCACACCGCCCCCTCACCTCCGTTGTCGAGCAGCACGTGCATGAGGTTTCCCATCACAGACGTGTTGTGCAGTTTCTCCACAGCCTCCTTGGCCGCCTTCACCGTGGTGAAGATCACCTTGGCCAGGCCCATGTGCTTCCTCGTCTTGGGATGGTGCAGGATCTCCATGGCGTCAATGTCGCCAAACTTCTTGCACATGTCCGTTAGGAAGTGCTCCTTGATGTTGTCGTTGAGCTTCGCGAAGGTCACCTCCTTCGGCGGGATCGGGCCCACGTAATACTCATCAATCTGCCGGGAGAGGGTCATTGGATTGGGAGGGGGGGGGGCATTAGCGGAGAAAAGAACGAGTGAAACCAGCCATCAGCTCATGATTTCATTAAAGTGTCATATTAATTAGGTGTGTAACGATTTGCGACTAATTCCGAAATTAGAATCGAGACACGACAGGTGGATGGAATCACCATTCACAACTACCCCTCCAATGCTATTGTCACAACTCAGGATAGCAAATCGTTTCAACAATTACTTTCTTTTAAACAGTGCAGTGAATGTAACAGCCCACTGGTGGCTTGCAGGGGTGACATGAAGGCATTGCGTACAGCGCGTACGATTCGCGAACCACTGTACGTACGGCGAACCATGGTGTCGCCCACGTCACAACAAGCCCTGTCGCAGGCCTCACCTTGAACTTGGGCAGTGGCAACTCGGCCTCCACGATTCGCGTCCATCGCCGGGAAGCGCGCGGGTCATGTACGGACGTGACGGGCGGCAGCCCGGGATTCTGTAAGATGCACGGGTGGAGGGTGGTGGTGGGCATGGCAGTGGCGCGAGGGGTCAGGGCAAGGTCATGGCACACGAAGGGGGCATCGCAAAGGGGGGAGGGCCAGCGAAGGAGCGGGACACGGCGAGGCTGCGGTGAAAACACTCGCAGGTGAAACGGCTTCAATTAGCGCGCTGTCGGGGAAAGGAGCTCAAAGGGACAATTAAATTGCCCTATTGTTCTACGTGAGCTCCCGTAGGCCAATATGTGTGCGCTGTGAAACCCAGGGTGGAGGGCAGACAGGGGGCTGTGGTGTTTAGTTGTTGTGATTCGGGTTTTTGTCTTGGCGGTGTGGTGTTGTGTGTGGTTTGCCTGGTGGAGGGCTGGGGTGCTGCTTTAGACAGCACCCAGTCACCGATTACACAGAGAATAGCTCTAAGGTTTACGTGATGCGAGAATGCATCATAAGCGCACAGATGTGTGGTGTGGCTAGAACCACATTGGGCCTCCCCGTTGCCTACGCTTACACACTGTAACAGGTACTCGTGTTAAAGTTGAGTAGGCCTAGGCGGGAGGCCCAGGAACGGATGTGACAACACTTCGCCACTTATGTTAGCCGTGTATCAAACTCAGGTTTCTGGGTTTGCTGTTCCACCACTCCCCGGCACCATGAACACAGAAAAAAAACACACACACACTTAAATACACACTCACAAACCCATACACTCAAGGTTCTCACTAACTCGAATACACATTCACACACTCAGGCACTCATTCACTCGCATTTAAACACACACACTCTCACAGACGTAAATATATACCCACTCAATCACACTCAATTAGACACTCACTCTTGCATTCAAACACCAAAACGCAGAAACTAATTTTAACTTGCACTCAAACTCACAGACTCATTCACTCACTCTTAACACGGTCGCGCACACACACACAAAGTCACACAGCTTCAAGCAGTCACACACAGACACAGTCTCAAAGTTACACATAAACAGTGAGAAATACTGCCGGAAACAGTCACACACACACAAGGATCGTTCCACGCACCGTTACACACACAGAATCATACACAAAGCCCCACACACACAATCATTCACACTCTTTCACTCACCAAATCTAATTCACACACCCAATTCACACACTTAGTCATCCAGACACTCACACAAACATAGCAACACACATCCTCACACTCAATGACACTCACTCACTCCCATCCCTCACACGTATGACACCAAGTCATTCAGCCACTCAAACATACTGACACACTCACACTCATTCAGATATTCAACCGCTACACTCATTCAGACACTCACTAAAACACTGACACACTGACACACTCCAATTAGAAAACATGTAACACTAAGTGATTCAGAAACTCACTCAATCGTACTCAGTCAGGCAGACAAAGAGAAATACAAAGATCAAGTGCTGTAAGCGAGCACCCGAGTTTGATTCCCGCTAGTGGCCAAAGTCGGTCCTGGGCCCTCCCCTAGGTCGACTCAGCCTCAATTGAGTATCTGGTGCGTTGTGCAAACATCGTAACTGGGGAGACAAAGGCGGCCGGGCGTGGTGCTGGCAACCCACCCCCATGCGTAGCTTTCCGGCCTTCATAGGTGCTACTCGCCAACACCACTGGCCCAGACAGTCAGCCAAGACAACAACAACCGCCATTTGCCACTAAGTGGCGGTGACGTCACCACGACGCTTGTGCCAGGCCAAGTGCACCTTGAGGCCACGTGAAGTGTCGAACGCCCGCTGGCAGGAGGTCACGGGTCGACTGACCGAGATGACCGAGATGACTGGCTGATGCACCACCTATGCCCCCTACTGTACCAACTTGCTGTGCTTTAGCCACCCGGCGCTCCGCTCGTTGTTGTGAGCGTCGCTCCTCCAAGACACTCGCTCGCTCACACACGTCACCTGCGGTTGGAAGCTCTGCCCATCGTATCGGTAGAGCTTGTGCTGGCCTTTCTTCAGCGCTGGATCCACCAGCAGCTTGTAGCTCCTCCAGTGCTGCTTCTTCGCTCCTCCGCTTGCAGCGCCTCCTCCTCCAGGGATCACCCCGTTCACGGAGCCTGCAGCAGGAGTGACAGTCGCGTTTTAGGGGGCAGCAGAGGTACCGCCAGCAGCAGAGGTAGCAGCAATTCCAGGGGTATCAACAGAGGTCATCAACACCAGGAGTATCAGTAGCAGCAGTAGCAGCAGTGGAAAGGGCTAGTGGCAGCAGATGTATCAGCAGCAGAGGTAGCAGTAATTCCAGGGGTATCAACAGAGGTCATCAGCACCAGGAGTATCAGTAGCAGCAGTAGCAGCAGTGGCAGGGGCTAGTGGCAGCAGGTGTATCAGCAGCAGGTGTAGCAACAGTAGAGGTAGCAGCAGCTAGAGTATCAGCAACAGCAGGGTGACTGGCAGCGGCAGCAGTAGCAAGCTGCAACAGCAGAAGTGTTCGTGGCAGCAGTAGCAGCAGCAGCAGCAAGCTGCAACAGTAGCAGTGTTCGTGTCAGCAGCAGCAGTAGCAAGCTGCAACAGCAGCAGGCTTCGTGGCAGTAGCAGCAGTAGCAGCAATGTCCGTGGCAGCAGCAGTAGCAGCAGCAGCAGTATCAGCAAGCTGCAACAGCAGCAGTGTTCGTGGCAGCAGCAGCAACAGCAGCAGGGTTCGTGGCAGTAGCAGCAGCAGCAAGCTGCAACAGCAGCAGTGTTCGTGGCAGCAGCAGTAGTAGCAGTAGCAAGCTGCAACAGCAGCAGTGTTCGTGGCAGCAGCAGCAGTAGAGGCAGCAGGGACTGCAGCAGTAACGGTGGTAGAAGGAGCGGCAGCAGCGGCGGGGGGTTTCGGCGAGGTTAGCGCCGTCAGGAGCAGCGCTGCTGCTATTGTTACTGCTGCTGCGAGTACAGCGAAAGGACGTCAGTAGCATCCCTACGACCACGATCTTACAAACCTACGTGGGTCGTTCTCCAGCAGCCAGACACTGCACCGTGTGGAAGGAGAGCGAGCGAGCGAGTACCCAGTGAGCGCGAACACATAGACTCACGTCGCATACTCGTCCAACACGTTTGCCCGTCCCCCAAACAAACAAGTTGGTGTATAACGCACACGTGCAGAGGGTGCAATGCGCTCATACGTAGGCGCATACCCATGCCATGTGTTGGATTGTGTACAGTGCGTACAGTGCATCACTGCGCTTACCACGCTGTGCTGCACGCGTGCACTGTACTACTGTACACACACGTGGAATGTGCGTGCTTACAGCGCGTGCAGTATCGGTGGTGTGCGAACGGGCAGGACGTACACGCATGTGCTGTACGCACACACGTTGACTTTACACACGTGTAGCCGTGCGTAGAAAACACGAAGTGGGCTTCCTGTAAAAGTGACGGACATCATGGGTGTACTTTGTGGCATGCTTCGTGCGTACACGTGCGCAGTCTGGAACACACGTGGGCTGTATGACACACTTGTACAGTACACACACACAATGCGTGTTCTACACGTGCCATTCAGAACAAATGTGTTACGTAGTGTGTACACGTGTGTGAATACGCATGTTCTGTAAGCAAAACGTGTACAGCATTCACACACGTATACTTCAAGTAGAATGCACACACATACAATACAGTGATGAAGACATTGTCCATGTATTATGTTGTTAGTGTGTACATACAGTACACACATGTACTACTATGTAGACATTAAACGAAAAACACTCCCCGTGCAAGAGACAGGGAGTACAAAGTCTATGTTGTAGCACGTGTGCACCTACAGTGTATACACGTGCAGTGTGTACACACTGGTACATATTGCTGAGACTTGCACTGCATGTAGCAGATAGTGTGGGCACATCGTATGTGTACAAGTGTAAGAGTTTGTGCACATGAGTGTTCCACGTACATACGTATGATGTATGTAGAACACACTACAAACAAGTATACATGTGACAGAATACATACTGTACGTGTACCAAGTAGCGAGTAGATTGATTCAACACGTGACAGTTCATGCACTGCAAACACATGGCAAGAATGTACACACGTGTAAAGTACGTACCCCCCACGGAATGTGAATACACAAAAGTGTATGTCCACGTGATAAACAGTACTATTGTGAAAATGTGTGCAGTACGAAATGTGTACGTACATAGAACACGCACAAATATTGCCCAGGCGTCATAGAGCACACAAAATACACACACGCACAAAGTGATTACTTTCCAAAATAACTACATCACATAGGTGTACGTGTTGAGTCGTCTGTGTTGTCTGTTCGTGTCCCCACGTGACATACAGTACGTACAGTGCCCGTGTGCACTGTACACGCAACACGTGTGTTGCGTGTACAGTGCACACCGTGTACTGTACGTGCAAAACACACACGCCACTGTCCACATGGCAAGAGTCCAAACGGTGTGAGTCTATTAGTATGTACTGTGTGTGGTACACACGTGTGCTGCGTGAATACTAATGTACAATGAGCAGTGTATTGTATCATAAAATACACTGTGTATTGGACAGCGTGTTGTGCATGCACAATACACACAGCATATTGTCCAAGGCACATACTATTTATTGTGCATGTGTGTGTGTGTACACAGTGTGTGTGTGTACACACTGAACTCGTGCCAGACACCAAACACGCCACATCATGACACACGCAATTAACAAAGTACACATATACATTTTTCACACATGGACACTGTACATACAATAACATGAGTGTGTTCAGAGTGTGTGTCTCTGAAATTCGGTTCAGCATCAGCAGCCAGACTCAGACGACAACAAACAACGATGACGATGATGATGCTGGTGACAAAAATACTGTATCGTGACACAAATCATATTGGTAACTCGTAATTATGATGGTGACATGATGCTGATGATGGTGACATGATAATGAAGTGGATGATTATGATGATGACACGCTTGCTGCTGAAAGTGAAGCTTCTGGTGTTAACTATGATGATGATTATGAAGCTGGTTATGAAGAAGTTGCTGCTGATGATGATGAAGTTGCTCCTGCCGCTGATGCTGGAAATGCTGCTGTTGGTGTTAACTATGATGATGATGATTACGAAGCTGGTTATGAAGAAGTTGCTGCTGCTGCTGATGATAATGATGGAGATGCTGCTGTTGGTAATTATTATGAAGTTGATGATGAAGCCCATGAAGTTCCTGATCATGCTAACCACGCTCATGACTGACGATGATGATGTAGAAGCTGCTGCTGTTGCTGCTGATGATGATGAGGAAGCGGTTATCGATGCTTATCATGTTGCTGAAGCTTCCACACAGATGACAGTGTAGACTGTATGTCTCTCACTAGCAGCAGCAGCTCCTCTCTTGTCTCCAGCTCCCGTCTGTTCGTGGACCCTGACAGCCGGTCGCTGCCCGGGTCTCGCCTCTCCCGAAGACCTGGACGACATGACCCTCTCTGCCCTTCTTCCCAGCAGAAGGAGGAGGAAGGGGGTGGAGGACACCCCGGGAAGTAGTAGGCGGCCCAGAAGACCACCGACCACCAAAAGCCTCTTCACACGAACACCAACACCACCATCAGCAGCATCAGCATCAAGCTTCCACAAAACGGCACCCACGTCTGGCCGCGTAGTCCCGTCGGGGCGCCGGCGGCAACAAGACGAATGGCAGCAGCAACAGCAAGGGGGTTGCCAGCAGCAGCAGCAGCAGCAGGAGAAGAGGCGTGTGGCCGCATATTGTGGGAGAGTCGCTGCCTCTCGCTCGCCTCCCGCCTCTGTGCTCTGTGCCCTGTGTGCTGCTGCTGCTGCGGCCGCCGCCGCCGCCGCTGCTGCTGGTGGATGCCCCCCGCGTCCCGTCCCGCCAGGCCCAGCCGCAGATTCGTGCGCGCGCAGATTCGCGTGGGCTCCGGGACACCCCCCCCCCTCCTCCCCTACACCCCCTCCCCTCATCCTACACCCCCTCATCCTCCTACACCCCCTCCCCTCCTCCTACACCCCCTCCCCTCCTCCTCCTCCTACACCCCCTCCCCTCCTCCACCCCTCCTCCTCCACCCCTCCCCTCCGCCTCCACCCCCTCCTCCCCTCCACCCCCTCATCCTCCTACACCCCCTCCCCTCCTCCCCTCCACCCCCTCATCCTCCTACACCCCCTCCCCTCCTCCCCTCCACCCCCTCATCCTCCTACACCCCCTCCCCTCCTCCCCTCCACCCCCTCATCCTCCTACACCCCCTCCCCTCCTCCTCTCCTCCTACACCCCCTCCCCTTCCCCCTCCTCCCCTCCTCCCCCTCATCCTCCTACACCCCCTGCCCTCCTCCTCCTCTCCTCTACCCCTCCCCCTCCTCCCCCCCTCCCCCTCCACCCCCTTCCCCTCCACCCCCTCCTCCCCTCCACCCCCCCTCCTCCCCCTCATCCTCCTACACCCCCTCCCCTCCTCCTCCTCTCCTTTACCCCGCCCCTCCTCCCCCTCCCCTCCTCCCCTCCACCACCCCTCCCCTCCTCCTCCACCCCACCCCTCCTCCACCCCTCCCCTCCTCCATCCCTCCCCTCCTCCACCCCTCCCCTCCTCGCCCCCTCCTCCACCCCTCCTCCTCCCCCCCCCCCTTTTCCCCCTCCTCCCCCCTCCCCTCCTCCTCCACTCCTCCTCCACCCCTCCCCTCCTCCTCCCCCCTCCTCCCCTCCTCCTCCACCCCTCCCCTCCTCCTCCCCGCCCCCCCCCCTCGCCTCCTCCTCGCCCCCCCTCATCTCCATTCCCCCACCACCCCCCGCCGCAAAAAACACAGCAGCCCCCCACCCTCCATTAGCTTGTAATGAGTGGGGGGGGCGCCGCGGGCGGCTATCAGACACCCACCCCCCACAACCCCAGCAGCCCCGCCCCCCTCCATTAGCTTGTATTGAGTGGGGGGGGTCTCAACGCCCCCCCCTTCCCCCCAACAGCCCCGCCCCTCACCCTTGTATTGAGTGGGGGGTTGCCGGCAGAGCTCCCCCCCCCCCCCATTGGCTTATACTGAGTGGACTTGACGAGCCCCCCCCCTCCCCCCAACAGCCCCGCCCCTCAGCCTTGTATTGAGTGGGGGGTTGCCTGCACCGCCCCCCATTGGCTTATACTGAGTGGACTTGACGAGCCCCCCTTCCCCCCAACCCCGCCTTCCTCCTTGACCCCTCCGTGACCCCATCCTCCCTACGCGTGCAGACATTTGTGTTGTGTTTTTATTTGTTTACGAATTGGAAGTTATAGGGTTGATCGCGGTGTGCTTGCGATACTAATAATGTTATTGGTAATAATTGTACTCGTGACGAAGAAACTATTAAATACTGAGTTGTGTAATGAGGCAGGGGGGGGGAGGTTTTGTCTCGTTGGTCAGAGCGACCATCATACTGACCAGTGTGGTGAAGTATGGTCAATAAATCACCTACCACCGACAAGGCGTGGGAAGACTTTCATCCAGCAGTGGATTGGACAAAGGGCTGTAAATAATTAGTCATGTTAGCACGCTTGTGTCCGAATGCTAAAACGGACTGGCATTAAACCACGTGGGTGTTTCAGATAAATGTTTCACCAATAACGCAACTTGTAAACATTGTACCTTTAAAGTCAAGACATTTATTTATTTGTATCGACAACGCGTCAGAGAAGACGGCCCCAAAGGTGATGGGGTCGAAGACATTGCAGGTTTGGGGAGGCCTTCATTCAGCAGTGGATTGACCACGGTTTATGATGATTTGTGCATTGTGAAATAAATTTTTTATACATTTATTTAAAACCAGGTGAGAATTTACTGGCAAAAAAGTATTTTTTTTCAGGGGCGACCTGGTCTTAAACTAATATACACACCACATCGATGTCAGAAATAAATTAACAAAATTATAACTTATTTTTTTATTAAGTCATGATTAAGATGTAGACCTTCTTCTGACACTTGACCATGAGATGCCAATGAGGGGGGTCAACTGTTGGTAATGATGCACAAGATCAAACAACACAAACTCCGCCACCTTAATTCACAGTGCAAAAACGACAGAACTGTGAAATAATAATAATAGGTTTCACTCTTTAAGGCAATACAACAGGTGTTCAAGATGTTCAAACGCCAAATAGAAACTTTTATCAAAGAATAAAGTTCGCATTAATCATCATACTTGTGGTGAATAATTCAAGCAAACATGAACTGATAATATATGGCAGTCTTATGAAATTTATTGACCTACACCAGACAGACTTTTTTAGGACCTAGTCTCAGTAGGAGTGTCAAACCAGAGCACGCCAAAAGGCGAACAGCAAAAATAATGCCACTATCAGAGCATTTATAGGTAGGGGTGATCAGCTACAAAATGGGACCCTTTTGCCAGTATCAAAGTGTGAAAAAATAACAATAGGTTTTACCCCTTCTGGCAATAAAACAGGATGTGTTAAGATGCCCATATACCAAATAGAGGAATCCCAAGTTCGCATTAACCACACGTACTTGTGGTGAACATGCAAACACTAATAAAATATGCAGTGTCTTTGAAACTGATTGGCCTATACCAGAGGCAGCTTTCTTTAGGGCATATTCTCACCACCAGTGTCACCACGATCAGAACTATCCTGAAAATTGCACCATTTGCTGCTGCTGTGTGAGCAGTAGTGCAACAAACACAGTTAACAACAATCAACACATTTTGTCAATAACACCGAGGCCTTAAACACAGAAATATATTAAACGAAATGCAATCAACGATGTTTCGGGCAATGGCACTTCTTCACAACACAGAAGCCAGAGGTGCTGAACCTCTTTTTCACCGTACGTTGCTAATCGGAGGTGCCGTGAATGTGCATTGTCCAAAACGATGCCCATTATAAACGTTTTCTTTTTTTAAGGCGGTGTTATTGACGATTCATCAACTGAAATCTGCAATGAACTACGTTTGTGGCCGATTAGTTGGGCCCCATTTACGCATAAATCCCGCCTCTCAAACACCGCAATTAGCTGTCCCAAGAACAGCTTCCAACCTTTAAGGTTTCCAAAAATCGACACTCTTAAAACATTATTTCAAGGTCAAGAGATAAACGTGACCAATGCTGATGCCACCACAACTCACCATCCCTACCGTCTGCTAGCTATCTCCTAAGTTGTTTCTAAAGTCGACATAAATTGGCATCCCTCCACCATGCTCTCGTTCTATTCCAAACTTCTAAGATACATCCTTTTACATCCTGCACGTGTGCCACCCATCGACATGTACTTTTTTTTTTACTTTGTCACATTTACAACGCTTTAATGCCACGTTTCATTCAGAAACCTCCGAGCTCTTGACAAATACAGAGCTTATCTTATCCACGTAACACTCAAAACACATTATCTAGCATATGTATTCAGAATGGCCAAAAAGCTTCTGAAATGCTCGATAACCATAACTGATTGCCGGATCCAATTAAAAGCAACTTATTAAAAAAAACATCGGTTGTCCACAACATGCGGATGGAAACTTTAGTCGTCTTTTTCAAAACGAAACTTTTCGCATTGAGTTAACGTGACCCACGTGGACGAATCTGCTCGCGGGCGAAACTGCTGCTGGCGCCACCCGAGCTCGTATAAAAGCAACGACCGGGCGGGTGGGAGGGAGCAGTGGTGCGGCCGCCATCGTTGCCTATCTGCAACATCGTCGTCGTCTTCTTCAGTTAAATCCGTCGGCATCCTCCGCCATCGGAGCCTCCTCGTCGCCTGCTAACATCGTCAACCGGAAGAGCGGGAAGTCATGAGCCCTTTCGTCGTGGAATATCGACGGCGTGGCGGCCGATGGAGGGAGATATTGGCCGGCGAAAACAAACGCTTTCCCTTGAACTAAAATGGAGCTTGGCTTTGACCACCATGTTGAGAATTGCCTCAGAAGCTTTGAGGAATGACAGCCTTTTGATGGGAAGAAATATAAAAGCCATTACCCGGCGTGACAGGATTACTATTTTTTGCCATTTTCACTCATGAGCTTGAAAATATACGTGTTTGTGGTTTTTTTTAGTAAGTGTGCTTTGTTATATTTGCAATGTCATGCATGGATTGTAAGCAGCACTTGCCTTATACACAGCGTGGTTGGATCATGCAGTTTTTTTTTTATTGAACTACGTTTCGTGATGAGTTAACCTAATGTTTTGTGCATAACAAGCATTTTTTAAAAAGTTAAAACCATGCATCCGATTAACGAATATGAAATGTTATGGAACGAGGCATTCTTGCATTGAACGGCAGTGTGAACCACGAACTCGACTGCATGGAGCGAATTACATCTAAAAAGCCAAACTAGATCCCTTTTAAACTCTAAATTATCTTGAGTTGTGCCATAAAGCCACGATGTTTGTGGCTTACATCGCTAGGACCAACGTTTGGAGAAGCGGACCCATCGGTTCCAAGGTGCCCTGGTCACTCCGATATCCAATCAATGTCACCGACAATTTTAATGTTTTTCTTTTTAAAAAAACGCCCTAAAATCCAACCACATCTTCGACCACGAACGCCTGGATCTAAACAACTTCGAATTAAATCCATGGGAAGCTGGTGGCTTCATTTGCTGAAAAATTAAGGGATGTTTTGTTGTTGTAGGACCATCCCCACATTCTCTTCTGTCATATCCATCCTGCTGGGATCTTTGTCCACGAAACGCGTGGAGTTCGTGGTGGTTCTTGTCCACAAGCTTGTGGATCACACAGGTAAAAAGGACAAGGCAAACAACATGTACACGCCACCATTTCAACATTTGCGTATTATGGCTTTCGTAGATAGCACACAGCACGTTATTGTTTTTCAAGCCATAGAATAAAACATCTTTCGCATAAAAATCAGTAAATGTTTACGTTACTGTGCTACT